TGTATCTTGCTTAACCGTTCCACGTACTCAATGCGAGGCTGCTTCTGCAGTAAAGAGTAAAAAAATTATTCACTTGTAATTTTTATTACCAGACGGACTTGGATTCAGTTGTTTTTTAGTTGTAAAAGGATTACTGTGCCATCTGGGTTCACTATCGCAAGAGTTCCGACTGTTAAAATTTGACCGGCCAAAAAACGGGTAGTGTCCGAGCAAAAGCATGTTTGACCGGACAACGTGACCGGCGACTGCCCGTGAGTTATTTGCAGCCTTCGACTGACTGGTCGCCAATGCGACCAAAAATTAGGTGAGATACAATAAATATATGAAGTCCATATATTTTTGAACTGCGGTATTAGATGCGTATGACGGACGATCTTCGCAGTAGATAGCACTATTTAGGCAATAGTGGTTCGAATCCCGTACAGGCCTGATTTTTTTCAGGTCTGTTTTTCGCTATTGCCTAAATAGCGCTATCTACTGCGAAGATCGTCCATCATACGCAAAAATTAGGTGTTGGCGACCAGATTTTTAGAACTGGTCGCCAGCAGGCGACTAACCTTTTGTCCCCGCGGCATTTGAAATTTCAAGGTAAAAGGGCTTTTTTTAAAAGTAAACTTAAAGCTCTCGTGGTTAATTGTAGTAAAACGAAGCGACGATTTTACGATCACCGTATTTACCTGGCGCCATATGGTTTCAGCGGCTTCTCCCAATACGGATATCGCCGACGAAAACGTGACGTGGCGAAATCGTGACGAGATCGAAAGCGACGGCGGAATCACATGCCCTTAGTCCTTAATACTTTACTTAAATCCCTGTAAATTCCAGTTTTGAAATACGAGCTGTGGTGTTGTCTTAGCGAGTACTACATGTGCGAAAGATGGCTATCAGCTCTTTGAGATCATTTCGTGATTTGCTGCTTTCAGGAGACGAAACATCCGCTCTGAAATGTTTCAGCGACTTAGATAAATGTTCGATTGTATTTCAGCCAGTGCAAAAAGAACAAAAGTGTCTCTATTATCTCAATATTTTTTATCGTGGCCATCGAGGTTGGCCGTCGACTTAGGTGGGGACCGGTTCGAGCAATAAGAGTGTGAGGGCCTGGCACTAGCACATTGATCGTCGTTGTGTTTTCGTTCCGTTTCGGCGAAGCACTCTTAGTTGAGTCTAGGTATAGAAAGAGGGCCCCCATATCTCTTTTACACAGAACTTAACAGGGTACCGGCATAGTTCTAACTAAATGGAAATAATAAGAGAAAGATATCCGAAGCCTTCACAAGAGGGCTCTTCGAACGGACAAACACGCTCATTGAGATGTAGGACTCTGTTATCGGCTTTTGTGAGGTATCTATATTGCGTTAAATGAAAACATTTTGTTGAAAGGTTAAATTTTTTGCTTTACTTTAAATTAAGGTAAGTTATACCATGGGTTCCAGAGGGATTACGGTTTCTTTAGTTCGCGGCAAATTCAGCGGCGAAGCCGCGATCGTGGCGTGGCAAGTAAGAAACCAAAAATACAACAAACACTTGTTTTTGGCGACCAAACGCGCCCATCTGGCGACCAAATTGTTTAGGTTAGTCGCCAGTTGGCTCCCTTTGGAAAAAGTTAATTTCTGACCCTGAAAATTTTGCATGTATTCACTGGTTCTAATTCACCACCCTACCCAGGCAAGGTTCAAATTCCTCCCTCCCGGCCCACAGGATTTCCAAGGGGAGGGGAGGGATCTTGAAGTTTCGAATCGATCGGCGCATTATAAACCATTCTTTTAAAATGCAGAAAGATATCCTGAAGCAAGTTGAATGGAAGGCCTGGCTCCATGAACCTGGATTGCCTCCGGTTAATATGATTGAGTGGTAAGTTAATCTGCCTCGACTTTAAGAAATAGTTTCATGTAGAACTGAT